TGGTGCTGTGTCGGTGAGTGAGGGACAGGGGTCCGAGGTTCATCCCGGGCAGCTGCCGGAGATGCCCTTGAGGAGTGAAGGGGGCTGCCAGCTGGGCAGGGGATGCTCTCCACCTGCAGCCCTGAGCTCTACCGCTCATCCAGGACCACATGGCTGCTCGCTCTGCTCCCTGGCAGCTCAACAGCTCCAGCCTGACCAGAACCACCAAATCCTGCCTGCTGCTGGCAGGCACCCACAGCCAAGCTGGTTGCTGCCAGCTCCCCTCTGAGCCTGCCAGGAACACGAGTGTGCCCGAGCAGCCATTCCTTCGGAGGAAAGAGCGGTGGCCCAGGGCCTGGGGTCAGGCTGCCCAGCCCCCCAGGCCATGGCAAGAGGTGGGCAAGCAGCCCCTGCACAGCCAGACCCGGCACCGGTGCCTGCAGCCATCCGACAGCTCATCCCACCATAGTCAGGTGGGAAAATAAGCCCTGACTGGCAGGAGGGGCTGGCCTCCTCCGAGAGTGCCAGCTGGGGTAAGCAAGGGCAGTGGCATCCCTCTCTCCTTTGGGAACCCATCCCGGAGGGGTTTGGTCAGGACCACCCAGCCCTGCCACCATCCCAAGGGGCTCAGGGGCCTCGCATCAGTTGGCGAGTTTGACCCACAGGGATGATGACATCGCCATCAGACCCTTCCAACTGACTGTCAGGTTTTGAAATTCTCATAGCTCTCCATCATGTGACAGTTTAAGAACAAACCCATTTCAATACACTATTGCTACCTCTTGTCTAAGCAACCCCAGCCCCGCGGCACAGGAAGCTTCTGGGGCCAGGAGGGGCAGCAGGACAGGGCTGTCCGCAGAGACACCTGACAAATGACCCTGTCCTCCCCCCCTCAGCCAGGCGTTAAGTTCTCCTCTGACTTCCGAGAAGGAATTCTAGGGATCAGAGGAGCTTCCTAGCACGATCCACAAAGAGCCCAGCACCAAGGCTGGCTCTTGGCACTGAGATCTCCCTCCATGACAGCAGTTGTAGAGGAAGGGAGCAGTGGGAGAGAGATGCCCGGACCTTCCCGCAGCCAGGAGGGGGAAAGCAAAGGAGGTCTTGGCCTCTGAGAAGCCCCTCTCCTTAAACCAAGGGCTGCAGTGGTTGCACAGCCCTATCTCAGCCTCTCCTGCCTGATGGGACACTGGCCTAAAACCGGGCCCGAAGCATGGAAGGACCCCCGGGAGGCCCCTCAGAAGCATGGGGGGAGCAGCTGCTGCTGCTTGTGTGGAGCTGGGGCCCAGAGGAGCAAGGAACAGGCGGTTACTGGGGGGGGAGCAGGGGGCACAGAGACCCCACCTCCTCCACCCCACTGCAGCCAGAGCTGGACAACATGATGCTTCCACGGGGTGGGCAAATCCGAGTGGGTGAGGGCCAGGAACTGGGGGGCGGGGTGCAGGGGGTGCGCACCTGCTAGGAGACATGTGCCTGCACTCCTGGAAGCGTCCGTCCAGCTGCGCCAGCATCTCCTGGCACTCCGTGTAGGAGAAGGGGTAGCAGAAGGCAAAGTAGGTGGTGGCCCCGCGGTGCTCCAGGAAGCGGTGCACGAAGGACAGCACAAACTGCGTCTCCACCATCTGGGACAGACACAAAGCAGAGGCTGAGCAAAGGCACAGCCCCAGGAGCAGCCGGCTGAGGCCATGCAGAGCCACCTCCCAGGCACAGGCCAGGTGGTCACTACCACCGCAGGCCCCCTCGGTTCTACTCCTGCACCACCGTGCCAGTTCCCTCATGCATCAGGTGGTGCCCGCAGCCGCTCGCCCGTCTCCAACTGCATGGGAACCAAAGCTGCGCTCCCAGCAGATCCCAGCCCGCTTTGCTTGGATCCCCAAAACGCCAGGCTGTTTGCTACAAAGCCCTTGGTTCCCTGCTCATCCTGCCACACAGTGCTCAGGTCCCGAGGGATGCCGAAGCCTCACCGCATGCCTGGCTCTGGGGCAGAGCTCTCTGGGAAACCCAGGGGGTTCATTCTGCTCCTTGTGCCCACTGCCCGCACCCAGAGATGGAACAACAACTACTCTATTTTGGCACGCTTCGCAAAGTTAACGAGGGCTGCGAAGCTCAGCTGTACGTTGCGTCTCTGCTTGGTGCTGGCGCAGGCCAAATCAAGTGTCGTCTTGTCCTGTGTCAGGGGATGGGAGATTCTCTCTGGCCCCTGTTCCGTGGGGCAGAAGGGGTGGCTCGCTGCCTCCTCACAGCAGTATGCATAGAGCAAGGACGACCTAGAGCACCCGCAAGCAACTCTCCCCCAGGTAGCTCCTACCAGACCAAAGACAGAAAAAGCCAGGACCAGCAAACTCCTGCTCGAGGTCCAAACAGCTTAATGGAAGAGAGTCAACCGGCTACTGCGCCTCTTCGTGCTGGCTTCTGTTCCCTGGGCTCTCACCCCACCGCTCTGCGGCCTGCACCGTTCCCCTGGCAGGGGCATCAGCACTCCAACATCACGTGCCTCACTGTGAAGAGCCTTTGACCGACCAACTTGACAACTGATGAATGGGAAGGGGAGCACCAGGTGTGCTTTAAGTTCTGCGGTTCCCCCCGTCACACAACAGGGAGATCACCCAGTGACAGCCTGCACCCCAGCTGCT